GCTCCGCTCGCGGTCCGGATGTCCCGGCCGGGCTGATGTGTCCCCGCTGGGTCCGTGCGGGGCCCGCCGAGGGGAAGAGGAGAGCGGGCGGTGGTGTGGGGCCTCGGAGCTGCCGCCCGCGCCTCACCGCGAGGGGAAGCGGAGCTCGCCGGGGCCTCGCGGGCCTGGGGTCTGTGGCAAGCAGACTTGCTTGGAAGTAGGGGAGCAGCCCGGGACCCTGCCTCCCGTTCCCTTCGCCCCTCCTCTGCCTCTGTGCCAGGCCCCGCGCTGCCTTCATCTTCTCTTCAAGCAGTGACCAGCCTTCTGGGCCAGTCTGTGGCCCTGGATGGCCCCCATTGACCACTCTGGAATCTTCATTCTCCTGACTTCTTACCTACCCACTGGCACCACCGCCACCCCAAATCCACAGCCTCGGCTTGATTGTGAACGTTACTAACAGCCCGCAGAGAGGGCCCTGGAGGAGAGGCACCTGGCCATCTTGGGCCCGTTGCTTTCCCTCTGGGACTACAGCATGGCTCTGTGGCCCATTCTGAGCAGGTGCCCTGATACTGGCACACTGAGGGTGTACTTTGGGGTCCTGTGTCCCTTGTGTGAGTAGCTGATGTGGCGCCGCGGCCCGGTGGGTGGCCTGCTGCTCTTAGTGTACAGCTGAAAGGTGGCGACTGCAAGAATCTAAGCTCTTGTCCCGGATCCCATAGCTTTGCATGTGACAGAACCAGGATCCATTGCAGGCCTGTGTGACCGAGTGTGGGCCTACCCACCGAATGAGAACATTAAGTAGTCCAGGTCGGAGGCCAGCAGCTCGCTGCTGCAGCTGGAGTGGGAGGCTGGGAAGGTGTTCTGCTGAGGCTCAGTGGGGGAAGATCACTGGGTGGGCGCATGCGCTGGGAAGCCTGGACGGTGGGAAGAGGCAGTGGGGCTTTGAGGTCAGCAGTATAGAGGGAGACTGTTCCCTTCCAGCTTCAGATGGCTGCTGGTGAGGGACGGCCTTGGGGTAGTACAGCTTCCTGTGGGAGGCCGAGGGGGGAGAGGGGCATTGCTGGAGCCTGGCACCGAGACCTGGGGCCTGGAAGGAACAGCATGTTGCTGTTTAAGTAGCGGGAGGGTTTAGGGATGGGCAGCCTTGCCAGGGCCTGGCACTGGTGTGCCTGCACTTTTGGCAGCAAGAGGACGGGGGACCCTGGCCAGTAGTCAAGTGACCCCAGGCCTGTTGGGGGGTGCTGGAGGCATTCAGGCAGCTGGTGTTCCGAGGGGTCTGTGGAACATGAACACCAACAAGGGCCTGCAGGTTTCCCTTGGCTCCAGAGACATGGGGTTGTCACTGGGGAGGAGTTGAGGCCAGCTGCCCTGCAGGGTGGCCAGGAGGGCCAGTGCTCAGCTGTGCAGGAGAGATGGGTAGAGAAGCAGCCGTGCGGGGCCTCTCGCCTGGCTTTGCAGGGTGGAGGCCGGGGGTGTCAGTGGGGCAGTGGCCTTGCCTTTCCACACGACAGCTGGCATCTGCGGCGGGTGGTGTGCGGTACGCAGGTCGTGGCGCTGAGCCTCCGTCCGTCCTCAGTGCTTGCTCGGCACTCACTGCGTGCTGGCCCCACTTCGTGACCCTGCAGGTGCGAGGGGCCCCTGGGCCCCCCGGGGCTCAGAAGGCTGTGCAGGAACAAAGGCAGCAGGGAAGAAGGGGAGTCTGGTGTATTGGGGAGCACAGCAGAAGCTAGCTGACCCAAAGTGGAAGACCAGAGTTGGGGGCCGCCGGTGGGGGAGGGTGGCAGAGAGGGTGGCTGAGGCTGCGTGAGCTCATGGTTGGCGCTGCCACAGCCCTCAGCGGGTAGGGCTGGCGCCGACTTCCTTCCTGCTCGTGTCTCCTACTCCCTGGGCAGACACCTCACCTTTACCAATGTTGGAACACCTGCGAAACCAGACGTGAGTCTGGGCCCAAGCCTGACTCCATGGTGCACTGGGCCACTGTTGGCACCCCCGGAGCCGACCCCTCTGTGGGTAGGTGGGAAGGACCGCGGAGCTGGTGAGGCAGCGCCTCCTCCACTTGTCACCAGGCAGAAGGCTCTCGTGCTGGCCGCGGGCTGGATGGCCTGCCCTCATGTCTTGCCATGAGGACTGTGGGTGCTACGGAACACAGAGCAAACGGGCCGCACTGTGAGAGCCCGGGAAGCTCATGCAAAGCAGCGAGGAGGCCCACACACCTGCATCTGGGAGTTGCCAGTCTGCACAAAGTGCAAAGCCTGTTTCTAGCACCGTCCAGGTAGCGTGTGCCGCTGGCTAGGGCCCTCTTAAGGAGACACTGTGGCAGGACACACACATGTGCCCTTGACACACCTCTGTTATTTTCTGTTTAAGACACTGGGGTAAACTCTGTATGACAGAATATTCTACTGGTACAGTGCAGGTGCACTAAGTACTACTAATTTCTTTGGTGGCACTGAGGTTGGAGTTAGGTGCTTGTGTGATGGTGATGGTGCTTTTACCACTGAGCCACACTTGACTTGTGTCTTCATTAAACAAGACCTCCCCATCCTCCTCTCCCAGCCCCTGGCAACCGCACCCTCCTTTCTGTCTCTGAGCTGAATCCTGCAGTGTTAGATTTGGTGTGGCTCATTTCAGCGCAATGTCCTCCAGATTCACCCATGTCGTAGCAGGTGTCAGCGTTTCGTTTTAATGGCTTTATAGCATTCCACTGTGTGCATGCGCCTCATCCCATCCCCCGCTAGTCGCCATCTCCTCTGCCGTGAACAGTGCTGCTTTGAACACGGGGTGCTTGGGTCTCAGCCAGATTCCGCTGGTGTTGCTTTGGTAGAAAGCTAGAAAAGGGATTTCCTTGTCCCTTAGGAGAGAGGCTCTCTCCTGTCCTTTAGAATGTTTGCAGTGGATTTTATTTCCTGCCCCTCCTCCTTGGCTGCTGGCCAGTCAGGTGCCAGCTGCTTCCAGTAGCTTCCAGAAGAGGTAGCCTTCTTTGGCATCTATCCCTTTTGAGGCTCATTCATTTGAAGAAACAAAGATGTAGTGATGTGGAGACAGTGCAGACCCACACCACCGAGGGAAGGAAGCCCGGCTTTATCCTCTCTTGTGCCTCGCTGTCCCCGCGCCCTTGATGATGGAGGACAGGTGTGGAGCCCCGGGTGGCAGCGTGGGCACAGCGTCTTGCGTGTGCTGTAGAGCGCCACCCACGTGGGCGGGAGGCTGTGGAGCCAGGGCAGGAGGGTCAGGTGCTTGCTCCGCAGCCCTTCTTCACATCAGGGCGGGGCCTCGTCTGTGGTTACAGCATTAATGCCTGTCTGGCCGCTGCTTCTTCTCACTCGTGAAATGGAGCAGTACCCTGCACCCACCCAGGCTGGTGGTGCGTGTTGGCCTTGGCATTTTTATTTTAATTGCGTCCTCACAAAATCCACAAGGACAAAGAATGAGAAGCCCTGGGAGGGAGAGGCGTGGATGGAGCTGAGGGCACATTGAAGGCTTCCTGGAGGATCTGGGTCTTCCAGGGTGCACGTGTGGTGGAGGGAGGCTGGCAGCCGGTGGCAGGATTGCTGATTGGAGCACATTTCTGGCTTGTGTCCAGGCCGTGTACATGCTGGCGTGAACTGGAGTGGCTCCTCCTTCCCAGGACTTCAGCTGAGGAGCAGGGCACAGAGCCTCCCAGTGTGCCCAGGTCACACAGCCAAAGGGGCAGAGCCAGCCCTGGAAGCCTGCAGCCTGGCACAGCAGCGTGGGCGGCAGCAGCAGGCCGGGCTGTGTGCCGGGGCTGCGGCTCAGGGCTGTGAGTGGGCTCTGCGGAACAGCTCGACCGCCTGGCCTGGCGGGCCATGCTGAATGAAGCCGCTAAGCGGCTCTGGCAGATACCCTGTGAGCAGGTCACCTGGAGAGGGAAGTGGAGGGGCTGCGGTGTTCGCCAGGTCCGTGGGTTCTTCTCCTGGCTGCGTCTGTGACTCGGGGAATTGGGGTGAGGCCACAGCTTCTGCCTCGCCGGCACCTGCTGCGCTAGCGGAGCCCTGGGCCTGGCCTCACTGACTGCAGCCTCTTCCTGTGCTGGGAAGCGAAGGGTCTGAGGCTGAGGGTCTGAGGCTGAGGGTCTGAGGCTGAGGGCCTGAGGCTGAGGGTCTGAGGCTGAGGGTCTGAGGCTGAGGGCCTGAGGCTGAGGGGCCCCTGCCAGCCTGGGTCTCCGAGGTGAACGTCCCCAGCCAGAGGTGGCTGTGACTGGTGTTTTGTGTGGGTCAGATGTTTACTGAGAAAATAAAAGCAATAGACGCGGCGCTCATAGTGCCGTTCTCGACAGGAGTCCTGTAAGTTTTATTTTGTTCCTGATGATTCCCAGGGAGGCCTGGCCTCGGGCTCGGCTGCCCTGCGTTCCCACGTTGCGCCACACCCCGCAGTTGGTGGGAGCAGCCCTGCCTGCGTGCCTGCGCCTGGCCCCAGGGGGCCTGGGCGGAGGACCTGGCATGGGGCCCGCGCCCCCTCCCGGCATGGCCGGCTGCTGGCCGAGGAGCGGCGCGGGTCACGGGCTGGGGGACAGCCAGCCTGTCCCTCCCTGGGGTGCTGGGGGGCGGGTGAGTGAGGGCGCGTTTGGGGCAGTTGCTTTCTGAAGTGGCTTTCGTGGTTGCGTTAAGGAAGAGGCCACTTGCTGGAAGGAAAAGGTTGAGGGAGCTTTAGGTTTCCTCCCTTTCATAGCCGGCAGGGTGCATGCCGCCAGCCTCGGCGGGGTTGCCGCTGCCTTCTTAGGTGTGGAATGTGTCATAAATGAGGACCCCGTCCCCCAAAGCTGTGAGCTGCCATCACCTGCAGACAGCGCAGCGAGGGACCGGCTGCCCCTCTCCGAGGGGAGCGGCACGGGTGGGGCTTCCTGATCAGCCCCGGGCCACGGCCTTGCCCCAGAGAGAGCCTCAAAGGGGCATCCTCGGCCCACCCGTGTCCCCGTGTCCCGTGACGAGCACAGTTGGCAGTGGGCCCGGTTCCGCACAGATGGGAGGCAGCAGGACGGAGCGCCGCGCTGCACCGCGCGGCACTGCTCCGGGTCTGGGTCGGCTCCTGCCACCCGGGGCAGACAGAGCCGCTGCTTCGCGCCGCCCGCTGCCTTCCGCGCTGCCGCCCGCTGCCTTCCGCGCTGCCCGCCGTCCTCCTCGGCAGGGGAGGGCACTTTGCTCCTTGTTCATGACACTCGGCCTTTGTTGTTGTAGGAAGACATGGCCGCGCACGTCGGTGCTTCCCGGACCCCGCAGGAAGTGATGGAGCACTATGTGAGCATGTACATCCACGGGAACCTGGGCAAGGCCTGCATCCCCGACACCATCCCCAACCGCGTGACCGACCACACCTGCCCCAGCGGAGGGCCTCTCTCGCCCAGCCTCACCACACCGCTGCCTCCGCTGGACATCTCGGTGGCAGAGCAGCAGCAGCTGGGCTACATGCCACTGCGGGACGACTACGAGATCGAGTACGACCAGGACGCAGAGACGCTCATCAGCGGGCTCTCGGTGAACTACGACGACGACGACGTGGAGATCGAGCTCAAGCGCGCCCACGTGGACATGTACGTGCGCAAGCTGAAGGAGCGCCAGCGCCGCAAGAACATCGCCCGCGACTACAACCTGGTGCCCGCCTTCCTGGGGAAGGAGCGGAAGGAGAAGGAGAGGGCGCCCAAGCGCAAGATCACCAAGGAGGAGAAGGAGCTGCGGCTGAAGCTGCGGCCGCTCTACCAGTTCATGTCGTGCAAGGAGTTTGACGACCTGTTTGAGAACATGCACAAGGAGAAGATGCTCCGAGCCAAAATCCGAGAGCTGCAGCGCTACCGGCGGAACGGGATCACCAAGATGGAGGAGTCGGCCGAGTATGAGGCCGCCAGGCACAAGCGGGAGCGGAGGAAGGAGAACAAAAACATGGCCGGCTCCAAGAGGGGGAAGGAGGACGGCAAGGATGGCGAGTTCGCAGCCATCGAGAACCTCCCTGGGTTCGAGCTGCTGTCCGACCGTGAGAAGGTGCTGTGCAGCTCCTTGAACTTGAGCCCCGCGCGCTACGTGACAGTGAAGACCATCATCATCAAAGACCACCTGCAGAAGCGGCAGGGCGTGCCCTCCAAAAGCCGCCTCCCCAGCTACCTGGACAAGGTCCTCAAGAAAAGGATTCTGAACTTCCTCACAGAAAGCGGGTGGATAGCCAGGGACGCCTCCTGAGGCCAGGGCGCCGCTGGAGCCGCTGTGAGTCGCCCCCCCCAGGGCTGGGGGCGCACTTTCGCCCTCCCCCGGCCTCTGGTGTCAAGGTATTGATGCTCTCTCCATCCTCTGAAAGAAGCAATAGCAACAGTCTTACATTGGATCACGGGGGAGACAAATACGTGTCTATTTTAACTTCGTCCTAAAAGTATCCTTTAAGGTGACGAACTGCCTTGTGTGTTCCGTGGGCAGAGGGCGGACGGGGCGGACGCTGGCCTTCTTTTGGGTGAGCCTTCCTCCCTTCAGGTCTAGAAGTGAGAGTACGGTGGGTGCCAGGGCCTGGGCTGCCCGCCATCAGCTCTGCCCTGGTGACACAAGCTCTTCTCAGGCAAGTTGCTGTTGGCACCCCTTTTCTGAGCCCACTGCTGCCCCAGCTGACACCCCAACACAGCCCCGGCACGCAGCACTTTACCTGGAGGCAGGCCATGCCTAGAGCTTTCCGCTGTGGAGGCCCGAGACCACCACCAGGCCCACTGGCGCTGCGCCCCTGAAGAGGAAGAACCCCTCGTTGGCACAGTGAGCTTGGGGTTTCCCTGCCTCGTGTAGCACGGCCGGCCGGCCCTCCATGCCTTCTTGCATCCTCATCCCTGGGAAGGCAAAGCGCTCGGGGAAGGGACACAGGGTTGTCACGGGGCCGCTGCACCTGTAGGACGTCTTAGGCCAATAGACCCTGCTTTACAAGGCAAGGCTGACGCCTGGGGCTCCAAGCCTGGCTGTTGGCTCCCTCAGGATTTTC